GCAACAACCCAGATGGCAATCATCTTAAGACTCATTGTGAAAACCTTAAATCCTCTTAATTATTACTTAGCGTTTCACTGTAATTATATTCTTATTTTCAATTTAAATTAAATGCGTAATAAATGTACTTGATTTATATCAACGTCCATCACATCAAAACTTCATTAGCATAAGAACGGGAGGAAACTTACGGAGCACACACAAAGGCCAGCTGTCGCATGTGTGGTCATGAAGAAAGGAAATTCACTCCAGTGCAGGCATGAAATCATGAGAAGAAATGCGGTCCATTGCAGTTAGAAAAAAACTAGCATCATGCAATGTTAACAACAGGGACTCAGAACGTAAACAATTCTTCGGAGACCTTCAAACAATCGACTAAACAAACAAGCAGCACACATTTTCTGCACGACAATGCATCAGCACGGACCGCGAAGAATTCAGCGAGCGACCTATGAACCGTGTTGAGCGAATGAATACCGCGTACTGGGCAACGGAAGTACACGGATATGCAAAGTTCTTTAAGACGACTGCACCACGCAGTCAGGTATAAATTTACCACTGCCTCCATTATCAGCCATCCTGATGATGGAGACAGTAAGCTCCTCTGAAATGTCAGTCAGTATCTGCCTAACTACAGAGTGACACACCCCAGACGACGGCCATCTTCGGACAAATCGCCGTGAGAACCCGAAATCTCACCTACGTCTAGGCTGTTACAAAAATCACAGCAAAATTCAGGTGGTCAAAGAATTAATTTACATCAACGGAAAACATATTTGAATTGTGTACGACATTTTTTTTCGAGCGTTCCTGTAAAACCACAGCAAGAACAGTATTTTTACGGAAAAGTTTCGAAACATGGATAGATCTCCATTCAGTAAACACGCTATAATCCACTGTTATCCGTACAGCAGCCTCCAAATCACAAGCTTTGTCGCCGCAGTATATACGCTGCACAAGCGGAAACAAGGACATAAAACGACGTGAGCTTTCAGTTTCACATAACATAACATTAGTTGTAGTTTGAGTCCACCGACTGAAACACTACAGACGTTAGGAGGACAAAATCACTTACGGACATCCTGAGTGCACGTCACCGTTTCGTTATTGCAGTCCACGGTTTCCTGTGGGTAGTAGATGACCCATTTTATGAACATCATGGCCACCATGTACGCAAACAGCAGCAGCAGGAACAATATTTGTGGTACGAATTCCAGAATAATATTGATCGACTTTTTGAAATGTCTGAAACATTGCAGGAATAAGTGAACAGATGAGTTTTCATATATCATGCGGCAGGTTCATCACACACACAAATTACGCACAAATGCCGGTTCCGAGACATTCTAGGACCAGTTGGTCTGTCCATTTTGCCTTTCGTGCACTCGGCATTTGTTCATCCCAACAGCGGACATTCCAGTGACTGCACTGCGTGCGCGTCGTTACTTATTCATTAAGCGCAGTTTTTAACGATGATTTCCGAAGCCTCACAGAGTACGTACTAGCAGATGGGAAGTTGAAAGCGCAGATACCGTCTGACGACATTTCACTGGACTGTCTGTCCTAAGTCCTCACGTCTTATATTTCATGCAAATACTGTAACTTGCGATTAACGACATAGAACGGAACACTGAAACATCGACAACTTCAATCCACGTCAAACAAATTAGCAACATCGCAGACAATCTGCCAAGCGCACTGTCGAACCAACGACATTCCTTCGCTCCGTGTATTATTATGCCTCGGAGCACGTGGATATATTTATTTGTACGTGAAACTGCTACTTACTCATGTCATATACTTACATATGATTAACCACACTAAGGCACACCCCAAAGATCATGTGAGCCACGCCAAATATTATCGACAGCTTCATCTTGTACGAATTTAAGAAGATAATCTTGTTAGTAGCCGCCTGAAACATGACATGAACATCCCTTTCAGAACTAAAATTCATCCACCTCTGTTACGCTATTCTTGGGAAAACTGAACGTTCGTCAGCTCACGGACGGGTCTGAGCGCTGTTTTCTGAGGAACGCTTTCATTTTCTATTCAATCTCTTTGATGGAGTAGCATCTTCACAGTTACGAACTGGCGATGCTGTTCTTCGGTTGTGATGTCGTGTAACCCTAAAGATGGAGACAGTATGTTTCACACAGACGCTGGTATCTACCAATCAGGCTACATGCATCACAACCCAGAAGAACAGTCATCTTCAGGGTTATGAGAACTTCAAATCTCACATTCAGAATCTGGGTTACATTTGTCTGCCTCTTCCCAATGTGTTGTAAACATGCGTCAGGAAACGCGATTGTCCGATAAGCGGCTTTTACGTATCTACTTTGATAATAATAAAATGTTATTAATATTTATCACTCTTGCACGTCTTACAAGCAGTTCCTGCTTTGTCTTACACTAACCTAACCCAACCCAACCTAACCTAAAATAACCTAACCTAACCTAACCTAACCACAGAGTAAAGGACCAATCAGCAGCCCTGACATAATGGGGTTTAAATTACCTATTCCCCATGTGATAAAGGTAAATAGGTTTGACGCTGATAACTGAAAAAACCATCAGAACATGTGAAACTTTTTATGGGCGCAGAACGAAATAAACCTACAAATTCTATAAGAATTAATTTTTACGTATCAACAATTATTGACATGGTGATGGTGGAAAACAATCTGATGATTTCTGTTTCACGTCTGTCAGCACACGCACATCCACGCAATTATTTGTTTAAAATATGATTACTTTATTACTATTACTGTTACTTTATTTAGCGTACAGTAGCTAGAACAATTCCATCCGTAACAAAACGCTATTTTCTACACAGTGAAACAAATGCAGTCTTAAGACTCTTCTATTTCCAATTCTAGATTTGCATTGTCGTCTTTCTAAATAACCTTGGTTTACGTCACAGATTCATCTGTAGTAAAGAAAAATGTAAGATGAAATGAATGTCACAAGAATCAGTGTTGATATCCTTATCCATTACCTGCCAAACAGGATCCAGTCCCACAGGATACGGCGATGCGTCAAATTTGGCGAAATTTGTATACGGACTCAGAGTCAGTTCTGCATTTCCTTGAATATCTGAAATGTTATATCCATCTATCGTCCAACTGGAGCCAAATATATTTAATGATCTAGAGAATATATCATTGTAAATAAATCCAGTGTAGACTGAGAAGATGCCCATCAACAGGATGATGTAGCGGCCAGCAAAAAAGATGTTCCAGATCTGGCAGAACAAAATAAAATTATCACAAACATGTTCCATGATTATGAGGAAATGCAGGAAGACGGCTTTCATCTCGGTTTTGGCGTCGTATGGACTAGCGGAAGTTCACAAATATTTCCGGGGTCCTTGCTGCCCCCATCATCAATGACGGAAAAAGCGTGGACCTCTGAAACATCGGTGAATTTCTATGTTACGAGCATCATCCATACCCGTGTAAAATCACCATCTGAATGGATGGTCTCTCAAGTAGAGGCAAGAACGCAGGCCGAGGGTGTTTGAGCACAGGGCTGGACAAAACTGAAAAAGGAAGGGCTTCGGAATTTGTACGCTTCATCAAATATTATTAGAGTGATAAGATCAGGGAAGGCGAGGCGGGCAGAGTATGTAGCGTGCATTGGGGAGGTGAGAAATTCACACTGAATTTTGCTTGAGAAGCCTGGAGGGAAGAGATCACATGGGTGGATAATATTAAAATTGATCTTAATGAAATAACGTTTGAAGGAAGGAACTGGATTCATCTGGCTCAGGAGAGAAGCTGGTGGCAAGCTTTTGTGAACATGACAATGAACCTTCAGGCCCCACAAAAGGCAGAAAATCATTTGACTAGCTGAGCGTACTCTCAGCTCCTCGAGGACTCGGCTGCACGTAACAGTCAGCTGACATAAATCTTCACCACATCTAGCACAGTAGAACTTAATCGAATTGAACGCCACCCGGCCCTCTCAACATATTTTAACACCGTGTATAAAAGGTGTTTAAATTACTCGATCTGATTCATCACGACAGTAAAACTGAATGGCGCGGCAAAGGGTCGGCTTACAGACTATAAATACGATAATTTATAAATGGGGCACTGGGCTGTTTTAAGGTCAAATCTCAGTTACCTCACTATCTGACTTCTGCTTCATTAATTTCTTTTCTTCTATCACCATGTACAGTCCAAACGCTGTCAAGATGAGACCATGACCTGCATCACCAAACATAATGGCAAACAGGAACGGAAAAGTGATGATAGTGTACAGCGCTGAAACACGAAACACATAAACGAAGTCCAAAAGAAGACAAAGGCAATAATAATGGAACAATCTTTCAGTGGTTGATGGTGATCAGCGACATCTTTTACTCACGACGTACGATGTCACTATGTTCCTTTATGCCCCATTTCTATTGGACATAAATAAACAGCAGTGTTCATTAACTACTCATCACAAATTGATCTGAAGTTCAACAGAGACATAGTTTATTTGGACCACGCCAGATCTTTCTCCGATGCTATCGGATGTCAGAGACGAGGAATTTTAAAATGGCAGCGGTTGATACTCGAGAGAATTTCCAAAGTTTATCTGATTATGCCCCTGTCCAAGTCCATATGTTTTGTACATAATAAAGGCTGACAATAGAGTTTTAAATGTTAAGAATTACAGGTTGGTGTTCCTGTTATAATATTAAAAAAAGAAGTTTATTTTTTCTGAACAAGTTTTTATTTTGTTTTACTTCAGCTTTTGAGGCCGAGCCACGATGAGGAAGTTTTGGTAAACACTGCAGGGGTTTCGGAAGCCTCGTATAGATTGGGCATTAATGCTGCGTTCAGTTTCTGCGCAGCGTTGACTTCGACAGAATTTAAATTATGTGCTTTGACTTCGATATGGAGTAGATTTGTAAGTGTGTGAAAATAAAATGCTGAAATCTTACGATAGCCTCATTTACTGACCTGGGTTAACCTCCCTATAGCTAGAGACGCCATATGAGTCGATAAGATTCTGAAAACCCCGCGTAAATTTATTGGTGCGATTGAATGTGGGCGATCCTTCTGAAGTCTCGATAACATTCAGGAATGAAGGAATTGAACTGCCACTAGCTCTCTGAAAACATAAAAGTAAAACTGATAATGAACTGAGGTAAAGCATGACGGGTGCCAAGTCAAACCTTAAGTACAAATTTTCTTATGCCCGAGTTTTAATGCTCTGGGTTAAAAAAACTGAGGTTTCGCTTGAATTCCAAAAATACGTGCAAAAAGTTAAGAAAATAAAATTATCTACTTCTATTGCTGTATGTCAGTTTCTCGTACCATATTCAGACACAAATCTGACATTTCTATCAGCAGGCAGTACATACCCCCCCTTCTGCAAGGGCCTTCCTCACGCCAGCCAGATCTCTAACTGGGACCCAGCACTCGGCAATGAGGCACTTTTTGGTGACATCCAAGTTGAACATGTTCAGCGTGTGGTAGATGGCCTTCATTTTACGCACCATGACCATGCAATTCTGAAGCTCCTTGGCGACGCTAACCAGCACGCGATGACGATGATCTTGTGTTTGATTTAGAACCTATACATAAACCACACAAAGCTAACTTCAGTTACACTACCCTGAAAACCAGACGAACATCGTTCCAAATCACGGCTCTCGTTCATTTAACGAGACACATTACATACAGCCACGATAACCAAAGCATTCTTTGTAAGCTGCCAACAAATTCTACCTAAACTCCGTAACATAAAATTTAATCGTTGTCACGCAGACGACAGCAGAAAGCAATTTTTGCAAATTTTAGTTGCAAAAGAACCTACAAATCTGACACCCAACGAGATCTTGGTGCTTTCTGTTCCAGTGAAGTTTCTCATTAAAACCACTCAGCAAATTAAGGATATTGCAATTGTAAGAAAATATCACCTCGCATCCAAATTACAATCGACAGCAACACTACAACAGAATTTTTGCTTCACGTCAACCTTGTTTCTGTTTCAAATTCTTCTGGTGAAACCACGAAAGTCACGGACAAAACTTTTTACTAAACACAATTTCAAAAGGTTAACCCGATGCTCTCTGGTCAAATTTTTGTTTTGTTAACTAAACACAATTTCAAAAGGTTAACCCCGATGCTTGTAAAAAAATCTCTGGTCAAATTTTTGTTTTGTTGATGTCAAATAATGGGAAAACAAACCAATTTTCATTTCCTCACACTTTGATTCCAGAAGACGCACATTTTTCTGGCACTAACTGACGATACTTTACGTACGTACCGACTGGGTTTCATACCTTAACTCCACATGGAAGTGCCTTAACAGGATCCAGACGAGCGCAATGTTAAGTTTTATATATATAGGTACGAAAACAATAATACGTTCCATGTCTCGCATTTTAAACGCACTATTCACACAAGCAACAGCTGTGGTATTTTATACTTTATATTTTAGGTCGAGATTATATCTCCTACAGTTTAATTTTACTACGCAGTATTCCTCACGGAACAAAACATCAAATAGAATGAACTGCTAGATATTCACCATATTCAGATCCTCGAGTCTTGTCCGAACACCTTTTACCATCTCCTCCCTCTCAGTAGTGGCACTGGGACAGGGGTAGAGCGACGCATGAAAACCAGTACACACCTTCTTTACGCGAGATTTCAGCTGTTCGCCTTGGAAGAATGCTGCAAATACAGTCTTGTAGATCTGATTACCCTACAAAAAGATACTTTACTATTACCTGGTAATTTCCATAACGTGCAAGAAGTATTTAATATTATTTATTTTTAATATTGGTCCTACACAAATGAGCGCAGTAATAAACTAAAAGTGGGACTAGTAGGGAATCTCGAGAGCTAATGAAACCAGGCTGTTAGAATCTCTCTTGCTTCTCATCTTCCGTTCATAACATATTGACAAAAAAAAGTCTGAAAAATAAAATTTGCAAGTCCCTTAAACAGACATTTTATCGAGACCAAGAAGAAATCGAGACACCCATACCGTAGAAGGATCTTCCAATGGTTGGTCTAGTTCGGCCTGCCTGAGGAACACGTTACCACGAGAGATCCTCCACAGCATCCGTTCGAAAGCCGGCACCCTCTCCCTCGGCACGACGCCGGCCACGAACCTGAGATCAGTTACGAACATAACGATTATACGGAAATGTGCCGAGAAGTAACGCGTCCTAACCGGAGTAAACAGTTTGCTGGAACATGATTGAAAAGGCGACACTGACATTTCAAGAAGTTCTCTTTACGCTACATTCCATGAATTACTTCAGCAAATTAATTAATATTAAAAGCAACCCTCCATTTTCTTTCATTACTCTTATGTATTCATGTATTTATCAACTTAATTTACATAAGTGATACACATGTATCGATGGAAATGAAATAAATAAGAAATTTTTGGAGAGCCGAATAACTTTCTTCTGACAATTATACGGCAACTTAGGGCCACAGATACACGGAAACATGATCTCGGCTGAAAGACATGACGGAAAAAGAAACAGATGGCAACAAATCAAATCTCTGGAGCAAACCAAGTGGGCAAACATGCTCTGGGAAAAGGCCTGGGTCGTAATCCTGGCGATGACGCATTTCTAAGTCTGAGAGAATAATCAAGTCTGAACTGGTAACAAAATTTTGAAAAAGTGAAATCTCTTAACACACCGGTAGTCAGTCCGACGAGACTAGAGCCTCACAAACAAGTGAAAAATAGAACAATTCTTCTGAAAGTGCAGCATTAAATGTCTGGTAATTGTCGTAAACATTCGCCATCATCCACCGCTAAGTGAACGCTGACTGAAACAAACAACAAATATGAAGACAGAGCTGGTAATACGCATAAAACTTTAAGCACAAGTTATGACAGGGGAATATTTCATCTTTGATGGACCAATACTCTTAATATGGCTCCTCAGTTTAGACCATAAAAAATAAACTACATATAAGAACTTCTTAAAGAATTCCTCTTGAGAAACTGACAGTTACTCAGGTGGTCAATGCAACCGAAAGGGGCCGCGTATCCTGAGTCATCATCGTCCAATAAGGCAACATTAATGGTCAGGAAAGAAGAGAGCGTGATCTTGCACTGACCCGAGGCGTCCGCGGATGTTAGTGGCCTGTGCGCTCGAGTCCTCGGTGATAAGCGCACGAGTGAGGGAGTCTGTGCCGTTGATGCCTTCCTGCTCAGTGAAAAACACTTCTGTCTTCTCGAGTACATATTTCAGTTCTGTCAACTCCAGAAAATTTGACTTGAGGTTCACAGCATTTTGACTCAACTCCAGGATCTCATTTTCTGTCTTCTCTAAGCTGGTCTGTAAAATAAAGAAATACAAATCACAGGATCTGCATCGCACGCATTAGCTACGCAGCTTCTGCAGATTTTCAAATCTAGAAACAGAAGATCTTTGGGAAAACAGCTGATTAGTAAGCACTTTGATTCAGGGTGTAGTATCGAAGCCTTCCACCTGTATGGTGTCCCGCGGGTGGCGACGTTCCCTCCCCACTTCTCCTAGAATTAAAAGAGGACACGAGAATGAAGGAGTTCTCTGATGCAGAGTCTCCATTTGGAAATTGAGGGAGGGCGTAACGTACAAAATAACAAGATATAGAGAATATTGGACCCAACATCTGGAATGAATGCAAGATCGTATTCCCAAGCACGCATTAAATTATCATCCCCAGGGGTGTCGGGATGCGGGATGACCCAGGAAAAGATGCTGTGAAAGTGTGAGGTCTATACGTGACAGGGAGAATAAACTAGAAGGCTAATTGCTGCAGAATCGTGGGACCAATGATGGAATTCACTGTAAAGTTAGTGCAAGAATGACCTTTATACAGCAAGGGAAGAAATGAATGTCTTTTTGTCATACCTCGAGATCTGTGATCTCCCTTGGGTTCGGAGCATTGGGCAGATCTTCAATTTCAGGAATGTGTAAATTTTCCTTGTTGATTTCTGCTTCGACGTAACGAAGTTTCCGTTCGAGCTCGTCGCAACGTCGGACTTCGTTCACAAATTTGCGCTGAAACGCATTTACATCTGCATTCAACTGAAACAAGATCAATTTGGTGGGCTAAGTTCTCTTAAAACGTCACAAAACAAATTCATAACACTGAATTGAATTAAATTGAATAAATTGAAGTGACTACTACACAAATAGCACTTCAGCTGTGACGCAGTCGTCTCCCAAGCTCAAGGAGCCTGCAGGCAGGGTGGCACCAGTTTCAGGGGCAGCGAATATTTTTCAGGGCAATGAACACATTTTGAATTAATTACGTCACAATATTCTTCTTTTGTACAAGAATTTTAGTTGCTTGTTTTGAATCTTTGGCGGTAATTTCCATTTAAGAGTTGCATAAAATCATAACCACGTGTTTTTTAATGCTCTGGTAGATTTTGAAAATTGGGCAATTATTAAAATGTGTCTCACATCTTCCTTCTTGTTTCCTGCCCCATATTTTTGCATCATACATTAAGTGTGCGATGTTAAAGATTCCACAATTTGATAATATTCTGGAGTGCAACATTATTTCCGGATAAACTCAAAATTTCCTGTCTGCTTACAGTATCGTTACGTAATTGCCCTTCACGTCTGCTTGCCCTGGAATGCTTTAAAGCAAAAGACGAGAGGCTAAAACCAATAACTTTCACCCACACACAGCGTTATTCGAGGGGACGCCTAATTTATTAAGACATCTTTATTACGTATTTGAACAAAATACTCCTCAGGTAACGCCGAGTTCGGGGCCACTCTGAAACAATGGCACGAATAATTCGTATAATCGCCCATCGATGGCAGCACTGCAGATGACGACATCACTCTAGTTCATGTAACCACTGAAAGATGGCTCCATGGGTACTAGAGCCTTAGCCGATGGTCGTCACGACTTTGGAACACGCATTAATGTTAACTTTTAAACTGGAATGGAACAGAACAAGGCAATACGAACATCGTTTGAAAGAGTTTTTTGGATAGCTAATATCCCTCACCTGCAGTATCAAGATTACAATTATCTTTCCAAAAACGTTTGTTACAAAGTTGAGGCAAATCTCTAATCAATCTTAAATGGCGATCACGGGAAGTGAAGTTAGTTTAAAAGTGTTCTTCATGCGAGAATATCGTTATTAAATATCCTTGGGCAAATGTTCGTGACAATTCCAACGGAGTTTCCAACTTTACGAGAGAGATAACGCCAGCCTCGACCACACAGACATCGTCCAAGGCCAAGATGGGAGCGACGCCGGCTGTGGAAGTGATGTGTCACTTACAACGGCCGTAAAACTGTCCAGAGAAATCGAGAACTCGCACCTTGAGCGACATATTGCCTTGCACACGGCTGCCAACCCAATATTGTAGGAAATAAGACGTCTCCAATTCCGCTACAGTCTCGATTTGTCTGTCGGGTTTCTAGGTATCCTCATAAAAATACTTGTCTTCCGATTGTCGAGACTTTAAGTTAATCCTTTAAAACCCAGCAGTGACAATGTGTATTCTGGGTTTAGTATGATTTTCAGAATTAACACATTATTTGTTTGGACAGCATTAACCAGCTGATCTCTGTAACAGAGACGCGTTGTTGATCTCTTTACGTAATTAATTGAAATTTTACATAACCTTCGCTTTCATAGGGTTGGCATTAATCATCGCAAAGCGAAGATTGCGAGCAAACACCATTACACCTTACACGGACACACACATTTCAAAAACACTCATTCATTAAGTAATCTTAATACTTTAGAGTAACCTCAAATACAAAGTCAGACCTCAGTACATGATAATTGATAATCTTATCCCAAAGAACTGAAGTCACTTCATCACTTCGAGACTAAGACACTTCACTTCACATCACTTCCTTTATCTCCATCTAATCCCCACTTAATACCCCCTTTGCTTGTAATTCTTGTCCAAAACAAAGTTAGGCCCTCGTATTAGGAACCAGATATTTATTTTGATCTGTATCCTGGGGTCTCGGGTTCGATTCCCGGCGGTGCCCGAATTTATAACTTGTGTTGGTCAAGGCCGTGGTCTAGGCAACACGGAGTTTTCCTCCGTGGCATCCCAACAATTACTCCATTCACACACAGAAGAAGGCAATGGCAAACCACTTCTGGATCATCTGCCAAGAACGTAAATGAACAGGTCCCAGTCCGAGAAAAGGATGGAAGGATCCTGTTCATATGGACCTGTCGGCAGACAGAACACTAAATAAATAAAATAAAATGAGCTACATACGCCACTGATTAGGGCCTCGTATTATGACGGACGTTACAATCAATCTGATGTCCTTTCATTCCCAACAGAATTTTGTACTGAATGCACCAATGAAATTTTACATTATTAAAATTTTCAAAATTTAAATTTTACGTTGTCATTCCATCTGCCATCACTCCGGTCATTTTTCCCATCATCAGCACAAACTCCGTAATTCGTCGCAGGTTTCCGCACTCCACATATTTCCTTATCGCCCTGAGTCATGCTGTCATGGCCGACGTTACGTAATTTCAAAGCCTGTCTATTCAATGAATTTAAAATGGTTGAAACAAATTACTTTAAATACTGAAATGCCACTCGCTGAAGGTACAGCATCTCTTGAGCGTGGGCACACAAGATTAATACAGTGATAAAAATTTAAAGGAATATATTCCTCAAAACCTCGGACTGATATTGTCGTGACCTCAAACTGACATAAATATCTTCATTCAGTTTCATACAGATTGGCAGAAATATGATTTTGAAAAAACGACCTTCGAAATACCTTCAAAATTTTAAAGCGCTCTATTCGGAAAAGCCCGGGACTTACATTTCTGTGCCTGAGACCTCAACGATACGTGAGTAAGTTCACTAAGGTATACATAAGTTACAGAAGAATTAAGTGTGAGAAAAATTCGTCTTAAATAAATTTGGAATTTTTAAAAGACTTCATTCAGCAAAATCTAGGGTTGATATTGTCGTGAACTTTAACGAAATTGACAGACACGTGACCTCACCATTTCTATCCCATAATAAAAAACAGCTAAAACGATGCAAACCTGACCCAACTTAATTCAACAGCCTCATCTTTTCAAATGAAGTTAATCTACGAGGGCTAGCGCGGACGAGCGGTTTTTCCGCCGCAGCGGCAACCGCAAATCCTTGTTGCCTGTGCAAACGGACGGCGAAATAAACGCAGTTGGCGTGTGCTCTAGGCCGATCGATCAGTCGAGGTACGGATTTTGTTGAGACTGTCGGCGCGTGAGCTCTTTGCTAAGGGCAAGGCGTAGAGATAAATTTTGGTTCCCTCCACAAGATTGTTGAAAGCCCAATTTCACGAGTTTATACGAGGACCTGCGTACGTATCCAAAGAAATTAGTCACAGACACTTTAATTTTTCTGTCAAGTTGCCTCGAGCTTTGCAGTGGAGCTCCACAGTTACTCCGATGTGGCCGGCCTTTTCTGGTCTTCGTGCGGTTGTTTCGCCGCTCGTGCGCTCGCTTCCTACTGAAAGGGCCCTTGTCCACGTCCGCCGTTCCGATAGATTTACATTGTTTCATATGAGAGTTTGTCCACGAGCCATCACGGCAAATCTGCCGGTCCGGCTGCCGGACGGTGCACCGTGTTCTCTCAGTGGGACATGCATTAACATGTCTACGTGTCCACGAGCCGGCGATCAGTTGGCCTTGAGAGAGCGTGCAACTTTCATAGTCTGTAGTATTCTTTTCTTTTCTTTGCATTTCCGCATTTTGCATAAATTTGTCAAATGTTTCTTCTGACATTCTAAAAAAAATTGACATGTTTTGCGTCGTCCTGTCGTAGTTTTATCAAACAGCGTACTAAACGCACCAAATTTAAATCGGTCTTGCAACAGAGGATGGACCCAATACTTTTTTTGTAAAAATAATACAGTGCAGTGGTTCCCAACGCGGTGCCCGCGGGCCAAGGCTCTTTTTGGGTGCCCGCGTTGATACTGAATATTGAGGGCCGTTCAACCACGAACATTATAAAATCAAAGCGTAGATCTCGACTTACTGACGATTGCTTGCGAGCTGTACCGTCATCCTACACTCCCAAATTTTTAAAAAACTGGCCGATGAAATGCAGTGACTAACTTCCCACTTGAGTAATAATAATTGTATTTTTGATCGCGTGGTTTCTCGTATCAATAAACGTCGTATTATTTGGTGTCCATATCTTATTTGTCCAGAGAAAAGAAAATTTGGCTTTGTTAATTGGTTTGTGCCCGCCACGATCTCGTAAACTCTCAAATGTTCCCGTAGGCACAAAAAGGTTGAGGGACCACTGCTCACTGTCAATCAGTGTTTAACAACATCCTCCTCGTATTGAAGCAATGGTCGACTGCTTTACCCTGACGACAGTGGATGTCATAATACTCGCAGACATGATACATCATGTTAGTAGCATCCCACCGTATAATTAAACCTTTATTGATTTATTAGTTATTTATTAATTTTAATAGACCGTAGCTTTTCGACGTTAAAGTCGGTGAACTGATCTGACAGGACACGACGAATTACGTAAGGAACCTTGGTTACGCGGGAAATCCCCCAGATGGCAGCACAAACACGTACGGAAATCTTCCGCGTTGACGTCATCGCTGAGCCTGATTAGGTGTCAGTTGCCCCAAGAAATCTGCCCGATTTGTTACGAATCGAGTCAAACCACGAAATGTAACGTTTTGCAATCAGCATCAACGCGGGTAAAAACAGCTTTGTTGAGTCGCCCCCGCGATCTTCGTGAGCACAATGAACCTGTCGTCCAACGATCGAATTTTTTAAAAAAAATTCAAAGTATAATAACGGACAAGACGAAATTTCGAGCGCAAAGTATGCTTCTAAGGTGCTATGGTGGGGTCCGGCGGGAGTCTGAAGTCTTGTCACTGATTTTGTGGTTACCGAATTTGACATGAATCTGCTTCCAGTGACCGTGAAAGATTTTGCACATTTCATTTACATCATAATAAATTCTATAAATTGTCTACTTTAAATGCTATTTCCAGAGATAATTCTCCAATAAGTGTCATTACTGTCCCATCAAATTTACGGGGCACATGCTAGTCCAGTAAAAAAAACTTTTGAACTTTGAAAGCTGAAGGTTCAGAAAACTTAGGGCCCCAACACATCTACATATGGCTTGCTACTATCGATTCACCAAGCCACAATCATTATTACTTTTATCTCGTAACAGAGCGTCTTCATCCGCGAATTTTATCGATCGATCCATCGATCAATCGATTCTTCACTTATCTAACAACGGTTTCTCAACGGCATAGATTACGTACTGTCGAATGATAGTACGATTTCTTAAATGGATGGGTTGTGGCCTATTTTAAGACGGTATAATATAGTTTATGCGCGTTAAATTAGAAAAACCACCTCGAAATATTATTTTTTATACATTTTGTCACTTAGACAGACAAAATTATAAATATTCACGGTTAAATTTGGACTGCCAGCGCCCCTGAAGGTCGGGATCAGTACCAACATTATACACGCGCCTAAAAGATTGTGAGAGTCTCCTCCGGTCTTCCGTCAATCAGCAACTCTTAACACAAGAACAGAGAAGTCGGAGATCGAACGCGCGTTGAGAGTGAGGAATGAGACGGCCATTTCGCTAGAGAAGTGACCTAGGGGAATTGCTCGGCGGTTGGCAGAATGTGCAAGTACTCACGTCCCTGAACTGCACGCTTCCGGCCTCCCCCAGCTCCGCCACTGAGGAGTACGCGGCTTCCGGCTGAATGAACAGCTGGCACAGAAACATCTTCTCGCTCCGGAAAAACGACCCCATGCTGGCGCTCGTGGTTGTACTCAGGCCTCCTGCAAGAGAGAGAGAGAGGCTCTGATCGTGTAGTCATGAGGTCGAGCTCAGACTGTGACCACGCATCAAGGATGACGCAATGTGCGCGATGTAGACTGTCACAGTTGGCCTCGGGTATTCAACCGACCAATCAGAGAAAAGTTATTCTGGCTTAAATTCAAATTATTCAACCAATCACATGCAGATGAACACCTAAAGACACGGCTGAGGCCATCTTTAATTGAAGCCCGCAAACCTAGCTTAAGAGTATCTGTCTCGTTTTACCCAAGAGAAGAGGAGACGGTTACAACCCGCACATGCGCAATAGGTGCGTTGCTTCGATGCGATTATTTTCCATATTTTTCATTGCATAAAAAGTTACGTCGCCCAAATTCCTACCTCATAAAATCACACTAAAGTTCTAAAATTACACGCCGAGAACTGGTGCAAGGTTCGGTTTTAGTTTTATGTAAAATGGCCCGAAGGGGACTTGAGCATTCACTCGCCATGACGCGTACAATTTAAGAGACCGGAAAGCTCACATACGCGAATGTATACTTTGCTGTTCTACACACGACCGGAGCTTAGGGGAACTCAACCCCATCTAGCGACCAAATTAAGAGTCGGCAAAAGTCATGTTAATCACGAACAGCGCACGATGTAAAACATTTATTCGCTTCATTTGAACAGGACTTTTAAAGCTTTGGTTTCTTCTGTCTGAAGCGTGGGTTCATATCCCGCTCAAGGCAAGAATGTCTGTCCTCGTGTGTCGTGTGGTCTTGTGTGCGTCGGGCCGATTCCTCGACCAGGAACCCCCCCGACGGTCGAAGGAAAAACACATTTCGAACCCTCGCGCGTGAAATTTTAGGTTAGGTTAAGGTAAGGTTAGGTTAGGTTGTTCATGAACAGCTGCGCCACGGGAAGAAAATGAACGAATACGCAATTATACAGGTTAGGGCAGTGCCTCCCAAACTTGAGTAAATTTCCAAAAAACGGGTAAAAGTGGTTTTTCTTTGGGTAACCCATTTCTGTGTGGCTTGACTGAAATCCCCGATAGTGTTAATCGTTTTACAGGGCAAATGATGGAGCTTAGGTCGAGCAGTCAGCGCAAAATATTTGAGGAAAAAAAGGGCCATTTGGAGTCTTTCTGGTTAACAGTTCATGATGAGCTGGCGAGGCCGTGATGCAGTTTCCGAGCTCCTGCATGTGCGAAGTGGGATTTTCCACTCTTGCCTTCATAAAGGGCACAAAACCCCGAATACGACGTGAGGTGTGCTCCGTCTCCGATTGCTCCCAATTTTGTGGAACTAGTGAATAAGATGGAGCAGTGGCGTTGCACTCATTGGCTGGGACCTGGGTGATGAAATATTCACGGTGAATAATTACCAAATTTTCTGTGGCTGCTAAAATGTTTAGAGACGCTTAAAATAAAGACATACATATTTTATTTTATTTTAATTATGTTATATTATTTGAAGTCACTTGACTGATGAACATTAATATTTGCATAACCGTAAAACTGCAGACTCAGGTCTTCTGGGTTGTGAGGCCATGAAATCTTTGTCCTGCTACGAATATTCTGGAGGGGCATTCCGCCTCCATTTTGAACGTAAGACGCCGGGAACAAGGCTTGCAAGGCGTCAGAACCCACAAGACACAGAATCCCGCTGTAGATCACACTTCTTTGTTTCCGTAACATTTCTGACGAGCGAACGCTACGGCGGCTTCCCGAACTAATAATTTTTCGCGCGCTCAAAATTTGAGTGGGGTTCGGTCCGCCACGAGCACAGCTCGCATTTCTAGAAACGGCAATAACCGCACCGAGAACGCTCCGCGAGTGACCCAGGAAAATAGTTCCGCGTGTCCTTGTCCACACACCGCACACATAAAACGTCCGGAAGTGAAATACAATCCTTGTCAAAAACATAATGTCCTTGCAAACGGTATTTGTATCAGAAACGTGTGAGCCTTGGGACTGACCTTGAAAATGTGTGTAGAAAAGTGTCTGGACGGACACTGGCGTGTGGAAAAACAACTGAAGTAATTTTGTTTTTGCTCACATTCGTAAGAAATGGAATACGCGTTGGCAGATTCATTCCAGCTAGCACACGTTCAAGAGTTTGATAAAGCACGAGGCGTTTGCCAAAGGAATGCAGCCTGATAAAACACGACGATAAGAGCACATCTCACACCAATTCGTTACTTACTCAATTCCAGGTTCGGCAACACATGAAAACAAAACGGGCATCTGAAGAAGGAGACAGAACCCATCTGCGAAACTTTTAGGTGTTAATACACGAAAGATGATGGCCAGATTCCAAAAAAAACACACATCGATGCAAAATAGGTTACAGGTACATTATTACGTCACTTTCTGGAACCGAGCCACGGCACGGCACGGCACGGCACGGCACGGATCGCACAACTTCCGGTTAGAATTAATATTTTCACACGTGTGAACAGACACTGAACGTGTGTGATACAAAGGGTTGCCACATGGTATCGATACACTACTGCGATACTATCGGGACTTGAAGCACTCCGTATCGATACGGATTCGTAGTATCGATATGTCTTGGTGATTTAAGAGAACAAATATTTGTTCTAAAGTATTTAATGAATTAAATTTACGGGGACACGTTTTCAGTTGTTTAAAATTACAAAAGACATTAGATGGATAACCATAATACTTGTGTAATGCAAATAAATTGAATATACAATGTTTCAGACAATTTAAAAAGTTTTAAAGGCACACTAAACTTGACATCACAAATACAAGTGCGAGCAGCGTAAGGCAAAAATTCGGCGTTTAAGAGAACATTTGCCGAAATACCTCGACAATTCTGAAGTTTTAAATCGATAAATGACATCTTATGTCGAAATAAGCTATAAAAATATCGATACGGCATCCCTAATACAAAGTCAGTGTTAAAATATTTCACGTCACAAACAACTGAAATAGCATTACGTTTGAGTAAAAGTCACTGAATTCCAAAAGCACATGAGAGGCGTAGTAAACCTTCAATGCAGATTTCTTGGCAATAAATTTCAATGATCACTTCATTGGTGTGGATTTGCCAAAATATAAGACATCCAGAACCAATCAAATACCTGAGGAGAGCAAAGCTGAATCCTCTTGAGGAGGTGGAGTTAATTCTAAGCCCTCCAGCTTGGAATAAGTGGTAACGCAATCCTCGATTTAAAAATATGTCACAGGGACAGCCTCTGCTTCTTTCAGACGATCTACCGCGAGTTATCCTCCGAGAAGACTAATCAGCCACTTGAGACACGGACAGATAAAAGTGGGGAAAAAACAAACATTTCTTGCAGTTTATCTAAGATAGCGGAAACCAAACCAGAGTACGATCCACTTAAATCTTTTGGCGCGTCACAAGTTAGGATAAACGAGCACCGCGTAACAATTCCGATGTCGTCTATTACGACTTTCGCGATTGCTGCCAGGTACGCCACGCTCATCCGGGGTGAATAATCGTCGTGGGGATTCCCCCACTGCTAAATGGGGACTCCCCAAACACTGGGGATTCTCCACCCACGCCTGCGTGTCCGATGTTAAACTAAACTGGAGTGTTGGAGGAGAAGGGGGTCTTCATCTAAGCCCACTGAACAGCTTTTAAGCAATTCCGAGGTTCGTCAGCGTTCCGTCGAGTCCACGCCACCAAATCGTGTTGATAAAACATCAGTTAGTTCCAAGACATTCTTCAGATGGCGTATGCATCTGAGTTTTCACCGCCTTCCGCAACCCGCATGTCACGATCCGCAGATGTTCATCTGTCGCGACTGAAAGCGATGATTTCCACAAGATATGTTGAACGATGGACACGGCCCAACGAACTGTTCGTATGACGGACAAGAAGAGCTCGTCTTCAAAGGACTGAGCTCGTTATTACTTTACAAGAAGACGCGCGAATTCGGTCCTTTTTAATGATGGCAAATGACGTCAGAGCAATACAACGCAGAGAAGTTCCACTTTTTACCGCCAGCATGCGACACAGCGCGCAGGCAGTTCTGTTGAACGCTCAAACGTCTTGGAGCTGACGGTGAATCAACTTGCGAAGATCACTCGATTACGTAACGCGGACGGACATCATATGATTGCCTCGTGCCACTCGGCGCCAGCCCGAGACACGCCGTGCGCCCATAATGAAGGAACCATAACTGAAGTCACATTCTTGTTCTTTTTTATAATGATGTATTAAAGATTTTTATTTTTTAAATGAGATGAAGACGATATTGTGGCAGAATTACCTTATTTCCTCGATTTTAAGACGATCTTTCCAACATTTAAAAATGTCTAACATAATCGGGATACGTTTCACATCTGACGAAGATTAAAATTCTGCGAAGGAATTTTTTTTTAAGAAAATTGAGTTTCGCGTAAAACATAACTTCCACTGGACCTATCTCACCTTATCTGCGTGGGCCTTGGCGAAACCATCGGAGATTACATGATCTATTTTTAGACATTTTTTATAAGACTCCTTGGGCGAGCGATCAGCCCGTCGGAAGGCCTCGGGACAACACAGCACAGAAAAACGCGGAGTAACATCCATGCCTTGAGCGGGATTCGAACCCACGGTCCCAGTGTCCAAGCTCACGAGGCCCCACGCCTCAGACCGCCCGGAAACTTGTGGCTGGCTCCGGTGGGCCGATACACACGCAAATTAAATGCGCTCAACAGCGTTCAGAGTATACGCCGAATACAGCGCCAAAATCATCAAACAGGGAGGAAACATTCAAGCCGCCATCAAAGTATTTGTTCCATCTTCAAACACGCGAAACCAAATCTCTCTCCAAATATAAAATCTGATTTTATTCAAACGCTCAATAACTCGTGAAACCTTATTTTCCTCCGTTGCACTTAAAGGCAGAATTATACAGCAGTCGCCACCAAATTTCAAGCTTCAAAGCCACGGGAGGACTTCGCCCCGTTTACCGCGCGATTCCAAGCAACAGCGTCGTTCAGTTTGCTACGGTGAGAGACGCGAGGCGTCTTCATTCG